GAAACGTGGCGTGACACTAGTCATGTGACTTCGCTGACGCAACAGTATGTAAGATATTGGCATCTCTGAACATAGGAGAGATTAGCAAAGATATATAATACAGGTACTAGAACGTCTGTATGTAGGTGATATTTGTAATTTATAGTTATTTCGGAAGATTCAATAGTTTGTTTCAAAAGAATAATTTGTCAACGACTGAGCTTGTCTTCAAAAAGTAAGTGTTGTTTTGAATTTGTCTAAAATATATGCTCATTTTCTAATGCACGTCGGACAGTAGGTACAATTTTAAGTCCTCATTCCAGTCATGCTACCCTCAGAAGCGACTACACAGAAATATGTAAGTTTTACTAATATTTAATTGTCCTTTTCTTAGTTTTCATGAGTGTCATTCTGTTAGTGTAACAGTTTTTCACATTATACATAAGAATATTGTGTCCCATTATTAATTTGATTGTATTACCCAACAGATGTGCTACTTCTATCAATACGTTTACTGTTTTTAGGGCTATTAAAACTTCCCAATTAATAATAATTCACAAGATGTCCTTGCTGCAATCCATAAATTTTGGATATGTTTAAGTTTTGGACGGTAGCTTTTATAAAGCCTTACATAGTTTACACCCTATGGTATGAAAACCAAGACAATTTTAAAACACTCATTTCTTCATTAAATATTTCCCCAAAGATAAATTCCCATATCTATAACCTACACGTGATTTTGTGAAATTAAACTTCCAAAGTCAAAAATTGACCTTCAACTTTTCCTTGGCTGAAATCTTGTTACCACGTTAAGTTTGCACCTTTAGTTATATCTATAAAAGTCGCTTCCAATCCTTGGTGATGTATAGCCAGATAACAGTGGATGTAAAATTGATTTTAAACAGAACCTTTTTGGTCTTACGAACTCCTATCTATAACTAGAGGTTGGTATTTTCAACCCAAATGGCAGATTATGGATACACGTGTTAAACAGCCAGGTTAGAGTGCTAAAGTTTAGGCAGAGCGATCTCAAATTTTGAAATATAGCTCAAAGTGTAGCACCTGGTTTTGAATCAAATAATGCGATGGACTGTCATTCTTATCATGCACCCACAGCACAAAGTGTAGCCAGTCAGTAACACTTGGTTTTGAATGAAATAATGGGATGGGCTATCATTTTTATCATGCACCCACAGCTCAAAGTGTAGCCAATCAGTAACACCTAGTTGTGTATGAAATAATGGGATGGACTATCATTTTTATCATGCACCCACAGCTCAAAGTGTAGCCAATCAGTAACACTTGGTTTTGAATTGAATATTGGATAGACTGTCATTCTTATCATGCACCCACAGCTCACTTCTAATGCAATAGGAATCTTTCACTCTTGAAATCTGCGGCTAAAATGGCAATAACTCACTCGGCCCTTCTCATTATATGGATGTATCTTTACATAATGTGAATGTTTTTCTCTGAACTTCGCTTCTTAAGTTCAATTAATCTAAATTTCTTATTGACATATAACCATCACCAGTATTTCTCCTTCTCTAACCTTTACCCAAGATAAAGTTCTCTTAGTCGTTGGTTACCTTTCATTGTTTACAGCTAAAAATGTTGAAGACGCTGAAAATAACAGACGGTTGACTGTGATTCATCAAATATCGACTAGAACAATAAAGTTACTTACTGTCTCTAACGTAGAATCGCCTCAACTCCAAAACCAGGTTACAACTTTCAATAACTCACCATGAATTTACTTGGTGAAAATAGTGGATTTGTCCTTGGAATTTAGAAAGACATTTCTTTGAGTAACGAAATGACGAGAAAAAAGCCATGTTACCAACTTGGCTGAAAAGCTTAACCAACAAGAAACTGATAGTGTGGCACTTGAAAATATCTTGCATTTCTACTATATTGTAATATTATAGTATTTAGTTTTGTTCTTTATATGTGCAGATTTACATAACTTTGTTATAAACTAATTTTGTTGCTCCAGAAGTGGATAATAGTCGTTTTGTTCGGTTATTGTGCAATAGTGTATGTTGTATAAAGATGTTGACAGCAGAGCTCTTCAATGGAAGTTCAGTTGATATCTAGAGGTTACAGCCCCACTTATTTTGTAATGAGAATGGCCATTCCCATGGTAGCACTTGTTGCCCTGGGTAAATACAGGGTTTCTTGCATATTTGGAACATTACATTTGTTCTGTAAGCTGAAGTATCACTTGAAGTGGACTAGTCAGGACAAGAGAGTTAACCACTGAAGGTATACAGTCAGAGTGGCTGTCGTCAAGTTTATTCAAGCAAGTATACAAACTGTTTGTGTTTAGTCTCTTAATAAAGATTGTGCATTTAGTTTAGTTTTTGAATTTCGCGCAAAGCTACACGAGGGCTATCTGCACTAGCCGTCCTTAATTTAGCCACTGATGTGACTGTTACCGATGAAAGGACAATTCCCGATGGAGCAGATGAACCTCACGTGAAGCAGAAGCCAACGAGATGGAGACCAGTACGGAAGAAGATACATCCTGTAAATTAAAAGACTTTGTTGAATTTTAATTTTGTGTTTGTAAATTCTAGTACATTTAATTAAGTTATTGTTAATTTTCTATTGGTTTGTTTTGAATTTCGCGCAAAGCTACACGAGGGCTATCTGCACTAGCCATCCATAATTTAGCAGTGTAAGACTAGAGGGAAGGCAGCTAGTCA